AGCTGACTGTGGAGAAGGTCTGGTTGCCACAGCTGGAACTGCATATGCATCCCTTGAGCTGGCTGGGTAGTGTGAGCAGAGACACAGATACTGCAGGCTTGGGGAAATGTTCCTATCTTCCCCCACACCCTCTTTCCCATTCATTCCAGAGTTTCAGGCAAGGCTTGCTTTGCCTATGCCCTCATCTTTGGGCACAGATCTCCTTTCTCCATAACCTAGCCCACTGCTTGGTAAGAGAGGTTGCCAACTGGGAGGAGGGCAGGGCAGTGGGGCAAGCTGACAAACACTCACTGCTCATCCTGAGCTGTTTGTCTGTGCATCCTGACTCAGGATCAAGCTGTCACAGCCCAGTTCCCTGCCTCGTGTTTCTTCCCCTGGGAGCTGTCAGGAGGCAGCTGGAGCCATGCGGTAACATGGGTCTCGGGGAGGCAAGCAAGGTCAGATGTCTGCTCAGAAATGAGATTGGCAATGATGCCACCAGTGCTGACAAATGGCCTGTCATTAATCTCTGACTCATGGCAGTGGAGAGGGCAGCAGTGGAAGAAACCTATGAGGTCACTGGCAGCCTCTCTCCCATGGGACCTGCACACAACTTCCACCCTAAACCTTTCCACATAGGGTGGGCTCATCCCTAGGATGGGAGGGAGTTCTTTTCCTACACACCTGCCCTGAGTTTTTGTGTTTGTGTGCAAGTGCATGGCACAACTCCAGACGAGCTGCAGGCAAGCCCCTAAGCACTCAGGAACTGTCACAATCATACAGTCCTGTGGGAGCTGGATTTTGGCTTGTGGCATAAATCTGGCTCAGCACTGGTGCAAGCACGATGAAGGTTATTGTGTTATCAATGTGTTGCAATACCATTGAGAGACACGAGGTGCTGTGCTGCTGGGAGATGCTGCAGGGAGCTAGGGGAGACCAGACTGGGATGCTCAAATCCTGACTGTGCTCCCTCATGCTGAGATACTGCTGGGGGCTGGGTCTGCAGGGTCAGCCCTCTTGCAGAGCAGCCTTTGCTCCTTTCCTGCTCTTTGAGTCTCTTCTCATGCTTTTTATAGAAAGGGGGTCTTTCCTCAGTTGTGAAATACTCATTGGAGGTTATAGCCAAACAGACAGGACTTTCTGTGGTAGTGGATGCTGGTGGAGATGCTGCACTCCCTGTTCAGCCATGCTGGTGAGCTGCACAGGGCTGAGCTGCCTTTTAAGGAAGTTGTTGGTGCTACAAGTACAACCTTTGCATACGTGCAGGGAAGAGGTAACTTTCTTCTCTGGATTATTTGGGGGTTGCTTTGGTCTCTTTTAGGATGTAAGGAGACATGGTTATTCCACTTCAACTCACTCCAGATGCTTGAACCTCTCATCTTGCACTAGGGAGTGGATGGGCAGCAGAAGGCAGAGGCTGCAGTGTGGGATGGGGATTGGGATTTCTGTGTCTGGGAGGGCAGGGGAGAGGGGTGCACTGATAGGGATGAGGAGGTGCTGATTTTGGAGAGTGAGGGCTGCCACCACCCCAGGCTGCTGCAGCAGTGGCACAGCCTGAGCTGTGCCTCCAGGACCTTCCCCCTCTGCCTCTGCTGAGCCGCGATTTAATTTTTCACTTTTCTTCCATCCCTTCTTAACTGGAAGAAGTCCTAAATAAAGTTGCTGTCACTTTTATTTATGAGCACAGAGGAAGACATGGACAAAAAGCCTGTGTGCTCCTGACAGCTACAAAGCATCCGGCTGTTTTTCCTTGCTTGCCTTGGTGAGGCAATCGATCTGGGTACAGGCAAGTACCCTCCCTGGATGTATGGGGCTCCCACATGCCACTGCCCAGGCACTCCATGAGGATGGATGGGAGGGGGCTCTGCATCCTGGGTGCTGGCTCTCAGCTGTTGCAAACCCAGGCTTGTCTGGGAACACCTGTGCTAAAATCCTGGACCCCTGAAAATACAGATGCATGAACACGCCTGCCTTAAGAATCCATCACAGGCTTCTTGTCTCCATCTTGATTGGTTCCAGTGAGGTCAACTTTTTTTAATAACTCCTGGACTTCAGCAGGGAAAACTATTTCCTTCAGGAAATAATATAATTAAGGCTGCCTGACACTTCTGATTATAAGCCCCTGTCTTCAGTTGCTTGAAACGATGCCAGCCTTTAACCATTTGGACTGAAACTTCACATGTCTCTGCCTCCGGCTGAATTTTTTTGGAAAATTTTAGCAAAGAGAGTTTTAAACTGCTCTCAGGATAGGGTTGGGGGGTGTGGGGGGGAGGCATTAGTTTATCCACAGTTAAAAATAAAATTTAAAAAAAAAGCATAAAAATTCTTGCAGTTGTGCTGAAGAAATTCCAGTATCTTTGTGCTGTGAGACTGATCCTGACAGTTTTGGGGAAGGTTTTGAGCCAGGCATCAGGGTTCTGATTGTTCCTGATGCCACAAAAATCCGCCTGCCCCGTGCCAAGTCGCAAGGCTGCGGATTGCATGGCTGTGTGGGTGTGTCATCCACAGCATGTGCAGGGAGCTTCCCACAGCAGGAGCTGCTCTGCCTCGAGCACACAGCGCTACAGAACCTGTGCCCCCCAGCATGGGACATCTTGCTGCTGGGAGATGTTGGGCCTCTTCTTTTAGAGCAAGTAAAATTTGTGGATCCCTGATCACTGTAGCCCCAGCTTGTGCTGGAGAGAAAGATTTTTGGCAAATGCTGCGTGTTTGGATTTTTTTTTCTTATTAAGCAAGTGTTTCAGTTATCCATTAGCCCTTGCTGTGCCAGGCAGATGCATCATGTGGGACATGAAGCATGCCATGCGTGCTGGGCTTCCTCCAGCATTTTAAAAAGTTAGTGCTTTTGCAGGCAGGTTTCTCTTAATTCAGATTGTTGCTACAGAAATGGCCAAAGCAGGAATATTTCTGTGGAGCAGCCCAGACGGGTCCTATAAAACAGGTGTGACATTCATGAAGTGCCCTGACCATGGCATTTCTGAGACCTCAAGTCCTGGTGATGCTCAGCAGTGATGTAAGCCCTCCTGCAGGAACCTGACCCAGGACTTGTCCCTGCTCTGTGGCTGATGACATTTGCTTCTTGTGTGAGCCCACCTGAGCTCTGCTCAAGCTATAATCCCTTGATTATGGGGAAGCACAGGTCTCAGATCTTCTCTCTGGCTCGACAGTAACTCATGCTCCAAGTCAGTTCCTTCAGCTGGTGACCTGTTTTGGACATGCTGAGTTTCCTCCAGAATCCAGTTTGAGCTCAATTTGAAGCCCCTACAAAAGCAAGTCATGCTTTGATTTCCATGTGGAAAGCTGGGCTGCTGGACCTGTGGCAGGTCCCTGCCACGTCTGTGTCCAATTCAGTACAGGACACAGACGTGGCAGGGAATGTCAGTTTTTCCACAGGTTTCAGAGATGTCTCTCGGAAAAGGCACTGGGATTTTGCACTTTGTACCCATAATAATGCACTGTCTCCCTGAGGGTACTCACTGCTAAGCTCACTCTTTCTTCTCAAGTCCCTGCCAAGCTGGAATTAGAGCCCAGAAGGGTCTCTGGCAGGTAATGACAAATGAGCCTCATCTCTTGCTGTAGCCTTGTCTCCTTTCCTGTTCCGCTTCATCTGTGGGTAGGGAAAAAACCCAACACCCACAACGAAAAATGCTTCCAAAAAATAATCAGAGAGTCACATTTGCATTGCAGAGTGAGAGGAGGCTTGGTGGGGAGCAGCCCTCTCTCCTCCTTACCAGTCACTCCTCAGCTCTGGGGTGCCTGGCAGAGCAGGTTTTGAATGATGGGGCGTTGTGGGTGCTGAGCCTGGGGCAGCTGGAGTTAAATTTCTTGGTGGCTGACACCTGACAAGTGTGATAAATTGCGGCACACGGTGGCTGCTGGCATGACAAACAGTCCGCTTTCCTCCTTGTAAACTCTGGGAAAATTTTGTAATTATTTCCAAGCACTTTGCAAATGAGGGTTTCGGTGTCAGGCACCCAGTGTAGTTCCAGGGTATGGTCAGATATTTATTTATGTTTTGTAGGCAGGCAGGAGGTAGATGGGGGGATTGTAGTTTGGGTTTCTGCAGCATCCTCCCATTGGCTTGTCTGGGCTGTGCATGAGGTCCTGGGAGGAACTCTGGCAAAGCTCATCAGCTGAGAGTTGGGTGCTAATTAATGCCTGTGGTGTTCCAGGCTTGGAGTCACTGTCACCCTTGGGAAAGAATCTCTGCAGGAGTCCCAGACTTTCCTCTTGCCAGTGGATTTCAGTTCCATTTTTTCATTTTTAATAATGCAGAACCATAAGACTTTTTTTTTTTTTTTTCTCTTCAAAGCATTTAAAAAGACGTAGGGGGAGCAACACAACCTCAGCCACAAGAGCTGGATAATGAGCACAGATCTCAACTAATAATTTGTTTGTCTAACACAAAAAGCGTATTTCCTGCTATAAGGGAGGGCACTACTGGTTACACTAATGCCTCTGACTCCATCTCACCAGGCAGCGTGTCAGATGTAGCACAGAAAGTCCTCCTCCTGTTTCCAGTCCTTGGTGTCTGTGTTGCAAAGCCATACAGGCATGTTTTCCTCTTCACACTCCTGGGTTCAGTTGGACTGGCCTCTCTCTGCACCGTAAAACACATGTGTGAGGCTTTTCAGGATTAGGGCTCAGGCAGCACAAGACCTCATGGTGAATGCCTTGGTGCTGAGCTGACAGTGTGGTGCTGCTGTGCTGTTCTGTCTGGGGAGGATTGCTATCTGTCTTTAAAGAAGATCAGAGATGCCCCAAGCTGCAGGGGTCTTTTTTCCCCTCTCCTGTTTCATGTCTCTGAATCAAAATAATTAAGCAAATACGTGCTGTGGGGCTGGACTGTGATGCTCTTGTGGGAGAGCTCTTATTCTAACTAGGTTCATGTTTGCACCAGTTACCCCAGCTGTCAGGGCTGGAAAACAGATGCCTCCTTGCCTCGGTTGTCTGCTGAACCTGAAGCAATGACAGAATTTCACATGGTAACCTGACAGGCTGTCTCTTCTGTTTTGTTGAAGAAAATCCCAGATTTGAGCAGTGAGGGTCGGACAAGCAGCCAGAAGAATCGCCCAGAGGTTTATGAGAAGTTGGGGACACCCCAAGGACTCTGGACTGGTGGAGAGGTAAGAGGTGGGTTAAAACCTTGCTCACCCAGCTTGTCCTGAGTTGGTATGCTTTGTGGGAGTGCAGGACACATGTCTTCTGGCAAGGATGGTGGTGTTTATATTAGAGTGTGGCAAAAGCCTGCTCCTGGCTCTGGCATGTGAGCAGCCTTTTAGCTGCTGTGCAAAGAGGGTAGCTGCTGAGAGTGATTATTTAGGATGTGGAGGGGGCAAGTATGGATGAACAGACTGGAAAATTCCATGTTATGGTCTGCCCATGGACAACTTCTCCAAAAAGACCCCTCCCACTTGAAAGCCCTTTGGGCAGGTCGGAGGTACATAGTCCAGCCACAGTCACAGAGTTCCCACATTGTGGCTGAACCACTCTGGAGCAGGTGTCACCCAGCCCAGCTATGTGGTGGAAAGTGAGGTGCCACCTCTTGCAGACAAGCACAGCTTGAAGCTCTCAGGTCTGCTGGGTGGCTTTTTTTGCTTTCCTGCCCTGGTAGGCTGCAGCATTAGGGATGAGATGCATGGGCTTGGCTTGAAAAGGAATGCATCCTCTTAGGAGATCACCAGCAGCAGCAGCCATGGGCAAGAGGTTGCTGCACCTCTGAGGCCTGTTATGTGTGTGCTTAGTATGGAGCTGTGGTAACACAGTGCTGTTTGAGGAGGGGTTTGGGATCATGTTCTTTGAGCCATGGTGGAGCAGGAAAGGAGCCTGGAGATGGAGCTGCCTCACTTGGGGATGTAGACCCTGCAGAGCTGTGCTGGGGAAGCCTGGTGCTTGCTGCTTCTGTGTCTGAAAAAAGAAAATGATGAATTAAAATTTAACAACTCCCTGAATGCCAGGCAAGAATGTCTTAAGTGGGAATTGTCACCGTTTGACTAGTGCAGCCTCTCACTTAGCTAAAACGGCATGGCTTTTATTACGTTGATCCTAGAAAGCAATAGCTTACACTGAAGAGGAGAAATTGTTGACCAAAATAGCATGAATGATTAATTTTTCCTGTGCCCCTTCCCTGCCCTCTACACCTGCATCATGCTTCCTAGAGTTGTTTTGCAGCCCCTTTAACCCTGGATAAGCAGAGTACTTCATCCTTTGAGCCACAAGCAAGGACAGAAATGCTCTCTGTATGCACACTTGATTGTTTGCCCTGGAGTTAAAAGGTCATGGTAAAGGACCCAAAGGGGTGGGCAACACCTTATGGAGCCACAATGGGGAGCGGGCTGGAGTCTAGGCATGCAGACATGCTCTACAGGAGCAAAACCCTGCCATTGGCATTGCTCCTTGGTGGCATCTGTGGAGCGGCATGGAACAAGGACTCCCTCCCTCCCCATCCTTGAGGTAGATCAACCCACCCACAGGACTCCTTGCAGCCCTGCAAATAGAGCAGCTCGAGCAGGGCACGTCGCTAATAATACCAATTACTGTTACATGCTGGCTACAAGGTACACTGCCAGTAATGGGATCCTGGGGGGATGAAATGAAAGCGATATAATATGGTGAGATAAATTAGCGGTGTAAAATTAGCCATGGGTCTAGTCAGGGATCTGACAAATGTGTCGCAGCTTTGGTACGAGCTCTGAGCACTGCTGAATTGGATTTAGTGGCCCAGAGCAGAGAAGATGGGAGCAAGGGAAAAAAAGAGTTTGAGGGGTCTCCATACACACATGCTACCAGTTAATGCTGCTTGTTTCTTCCTTGGATTTGTGCAATATGTCCCCTGACGCCTGCTTGTGCATGGCAGCAGATGAGTAAGAGCCCAGCCCAGATGATGTGCTGCTAGAGGAGCTTGAGCCTGGCAGAGAGATGGGAAAGTGGTTGGAGAAGCATCAGCAAGCTGGCATTCCTGCCAGCTTTGGTGCATCAGCTGCCAATCTCTGCTCTGTATCACTGGCTTGCTCTCCCAGGTTTGCTCCCAAAGGATTTGGTGGGACATGTGGCAGGCATTTGCACAAGTTTTAGCTGTGTAGGAAGAGTAGGAAAGCTGGTTACTGCTTTCTCTGTTTCAGGCTGACCTCTTTTTCTATGCCTGGATGGGCTCTGGGGCAGAGGGATGTCTGGAGTTGGGCATCCCACCGCCCAGGACTTCTACCTGTTGACCAAGGGTGTACAGTCAACTCCTTCCCATCCAATGCACACTTTGTTCTTCACCCTCTGAGGCAGAGGGTGGAAGCCAGGAAATGGGGTTTTGTGCCTCATGGAGACTGGGAAATGGGTGTGGTCAGTTCCAGTGCGATCCACTTCCTGGTGGTCCATTAGGACAGGATGCACCACAGTGATGTGAGTGCTCCTGCACATGAGAGGACAAGAGCCTCTCATGGATTTGTAAATGCAGGATAATTACATGTTTAATGGCTGACATATTATGTGGGATCTGGGGAGAGGCAGGCATGATTTAGGTCTGGTTTGATAAGGCATGTTACGTAACTCACTATAATAAAAAGGGGAGAGAAAAATTCTGAATATGCTTTGTAGTTCCCTGCAGTGGAGCTGAGGGGGGCAGAGGGTGACAAAGCAATCTGTGCGAGGCCTCTCCCAAGTCATGCCAGGATGGTTCAAGAAGAATGGTGGGCACATGGCAGACTTGTCTGTGGGTGGGAACCAACTTGTCATGTCCCTGGGGATGAGTTTGTAGAGGTCAGACCACTGCAGTTCTGCAGCAGCACCAGCTGGAGAAATGAATGCCAGGGGGTTGTCTCAGTACTGCCTGGAGCATCCCCAGAGAGCTGAGCCAATTTGTGAGCTGAGCCTGTGCGGACAGAGGCCTAAGGAGACAATCTGCATCTTGTGGGAGGTCAGCCTGGCCACTGCCACTAGTCCCTGTGTCCTCCTGCTGCAAGCAGGGCACAAGGTGCAGTGCTGACACACTTCAGGTATATCAGACCCCAGGCAGCCCCAAGGCTGAGCTGTCCTGGCAGCAGTGGAAGGAGCCCCTTCCCTCAACTTTCCTGCTGGAGGAGTAGTGATGTGGGACTGCAGCAGGACATTGAGCCAGCAGTTGGAGTGCCAGTAGCAGCATAAATAGAAATACAACTTCTCAGTTTCTTGTGCAGCTATGATATATCTTGTTTATATTGACTTTCTTAAACCTCTAAAATACATTGTAGATTGATCTACAAATCTGCAAAAAGCACCTTTTTTTTTTTTTTTTTTTTTTTTTTTTAAAAAAATTTTTTTTTTTTTTTTTTTTTTTTTAAGCCTAAAGCAATTTTCTGCCTGCTCCTTGTGGTTGGCTCTGAACAGACACATGTTCTCTTGTCGTATTTGAGGCTGGCATGCTGCCACAATAGTAGGAAGTTTAGCAATACTTGAGCTGGATCGATTCAAGCCCATTATCTGTGCTGCCTGGGACTTGGTGGTGAAGGGGAAGAAAATATTCTCCCCAAACACATCAAAGCCCTGTGATAAGGACACACAGTTAAGATCTATTTATAGATGGACAGATGTCTTGCCAAAGCTCTGCTGCTGTCACTTGATTATGCAGTTTATGAGTGCTTAGCAGTGTTTGGATCTGAAGGTGGCTGAGGTGTGTCCCCTCCAGGCACCCCAAGCAATACAGCTTCTAGGTGGTGTTTTGCATTCTTTCAAGAAGGGGCCTGATGTTTAGTTGGTAAGAATGAAGTGGATGAGAGATCTTTTCTTGGAGTTGGTGACCAAGGTCAGGTCAATAATGCCTCATCTTGTTCTTGCATCTTCATAGACCTACAGAGCCCTTGGAGCTCCAGAGCAAAGCTGCCATGGATGTCACATCAGAGTGGTGTGGCTGTTGAACTGAGGGTTCATGGCTTAAGCATGGGCATCCTCCATCACCTGGGATACCTGGCTCTCAGCTGTGCCACTCTTCCAGCAAAGAGATTTTTCCTACTGTTCACGCTAAACCTCCCAAGCACCAAGCTGTAGCCACTGACATGTTGCATCTCATGAATTTTCCTTCTTTATTGAAAGCTATCATGGATATTTGAATCAGGACCAGTCATGCAAGTTGCACATTTGGGATGGTTCCCTAGGCCAAGTTGTCTCAGGTCTTGCCGTGTATGTACACTTACATGTTACATGAGTGTTTCGTTTTTGAGAGGATGGTGGAAAGGGTGATGTGAAATGGGTTAGCTAATCCAGATTCTGCTCCTGGTGTGAAGGAGAGCTGATGCTCATTTGACAGAGCTATCCTTAATTTCCTTCCATATGTTGCTCTGATGCAATAGTTGTGAATTTGGCAATGGGAGAAGGGCAAAAATTCTGTGTAACCTTGAGTGTTGTTAAAGGTGCTGTGCTGATTTTCTCTTGGTTCTGACCCTAGATAAAAGAGGGAAAACATTCTCCTAGCATCCAGTGGGAACCTTCTGTTTCAGATATGCCCACTGTCACTTACCTACTTGCTATGGGTTCCTGTGAAGAGTCTGGTTAGGTGTCCTCAACAGCTTCTCTGGATATTTCAGTGGCCCTGACTGAATTTCCTTTATTTAATTAGCACTGGGACTTCTCTTGGGGCTCCCAAAACTATGGGCAGTGTCTTGATGTGGTTCAAGTGCTGTGAGATGTGCTTGCTGTGCCTCTGCTCCCACAACCCAGCCTGCTGTTGATCCCTTTGCTACCTGGGCAGACAGCTGGCAGGACCACGCTGGCACAGAGTAGGTGTTCCTATACCCCAGCCCTGCACCAAACCACAGCAATGAGCTGGAGAATTTCACAGTAAGTGCTGTTTTTTAGGCCTCAGTGAGTTGTAGCTCCAGGAGGGAAGTTGTTGTATATAGGCAGGTCTGGGGACCAAGACCTGACTTCTTTCATTTATTTAACACATTGTCTTGATCAGGTGCAGGATAGGTGCATGATGGATCCTGGCTGCATGCCGTTCCCAAGGCTGGGAGAAGGGAGATTTCTCTTCCCCAGGGTGTCCGTAATGCATTCACCTGCACGGCTCCTGCAGAGCCCTCCAAGCACTGTTTGGTTTTAGTCTGTCTCCAGGGTGCTGCTCAGCTCTGCTCATATATCCCTCTGATGAGTGGGCAAGACAGGAAGCAAAT